ACACTGCTCTGCCCAGGGAGCAGTGGAGGGCTGCAGCATGGGCTTCACCAAATTCTGTGCTGCTCTGCTGAACCACCCAGATCCGGAGCTGCAGGCCATCCCACGGGCTGTGCTGGAGCAGGTACAGTACTCATTGTGCCCCTTGTTTCCCGTGTGCCCCAGGGAGCACCAAGGTTGTTTCTCAGTGTCCCCACTCCCTGAGACAAGCACCCTCTGGCAGCTGTGATACTGGTGCAGGGCTAGTGCAGCTGGTGCCCTCCTGGCAGGGCAGCTGCAGATTCCAAGTGACAAAGCACAGAACTTCCAGGCACATCTCAGGTGGATTTTGTTTCTCTGTCAGGGCTTGGAAGCACTGAGTGGGCCCCGGAGCAGCTCGATCACGCGTCGTGCTGCCGGCTTCCCCATGCTCTTCCTCTGCATTGTCAGTGGGGAGGCCCCAGTGCAGGCACGGCCACTCCTGACCCACTGCATCCAGACACTGCTGACCTTGGCCACCACAGCACTGCCACAGGACTGGGACCAGACTCTTGACCTCCCGCAGGTGAGAGCCCCTTTGGGAACAGGATGATCTGTGCCAGGTACCCAGTGTGAGACTGTGAGAACTCAGAGTGAGCAAAAAGCCAGAGCCTGGTCGTGCTGTCCAGCCCAGCTGCCTGGGAGCCGATGGCCTCTTGGCTCCCCTGTCTTTTCCCACCCTCTTCCCTTGACATGGTAGCACGAGCCCTGTCCTGACATGGTGCCACTGAGCCCCCCGTGTGCTCTCCCCAGGTTTGTGCCCTCCACGTGCTGCAGACGCTGGTCCGTGGGGCAGGGCTGGGCAGGGCAGTGCTGTGCCATGCCACCCCCATGATGGCCCTGGCACTGCAGGGCCTGGGCTCACCTTGCTGGGCCATGAGGAACGCAGCCATCCAGCTCTTCAGTGAGTACAGAGATCCCACAGCCCCCGGGGTTTGGAACCTGTGTGGGGTGAAGTGCAGGGGCTTGGCAGGGTTGGATGGGACCTTACACTACCTTCTCTGTCCCTGCAGGTGCCCTCACGTCCCGGCTGCTGGGACAGCCGTGGAGCCACAGGGATGGCTGCCCATCAGAGGGGCTGAGCCTGCATGCCTTCCTTGGGCAGCACCCAAAGCTGGGTGCTGTGCTGCTCGGAGAGCTGAAGGTGGCCACAGCACCCACATCAGGGGGGCCCCGCCTGCACCCTGCACTCCACGCCATCCTCACCCTCTTGGCCCAGCTGCAGCCTGGTGCTGACAGTCCCAGCAGGTATGGGGGCAGTGGGGATGCCTGTGCCTCAGCCAAGGGCTCCTGCAGTGGGAAGGGCTGCTCCTATGGTGCCGAGGCTGGCCCTGGCTCTTGTGAGATTTTACTCCAGCCAGAACATCACCACATGGTACCCTTTTTGCTCCACAGTCCCTCTGCTCCCTTCCTGGAGCCACTGCTGGGGTTGGCAGAGAGCCCCATCTACGCCGTACGAGCGATGGCTGCCAAGGCTCTGGTGCCTGTTGTCCCCCCTCCCCAGCGCTGCAGGCTGCTCCTGCAGCTGGCCCAGCAGCTCCCTGCAGCACCCGGACAGATCCGCTCGCACAACGCTGTCCACGGGCACCTGCTGCAGATGCGGGCACTGCTGGCCTCTGCCACAGGCACTGGGAGGTGGGTGTTGCCATTCTGTCTCTCCAGCTCGGGTCACTCTGTGCCAAACGCAGCCTTTTGGCCACAGAAGGGTGCCAATCTCAGCACTGTGCCCCATGGTAAGGCTGTGTCTCCACGCAGGCTGTCAGTTGAGGCGCTGCACCCTGTGGCTCTGCAGCTGGAGGCGCGGGGCTGGCTGCTCAGCCCTGCCCAGCGCTGCCCCCTCGTCCGTGCCGCATTCCTCCAGGTCCTCACCCTCCTGCCCACGTCCTTCAGCCCTGGCTTTGCCCAGTACATCCATGACACCATCAGCACCAAGCTGGGCAGCCTCCCCCAGAGGGGAGAGCCAGGTTGTGCCGAGCCACAGGTACCGCTTCCTGCCAGGAAAATCATGGCCATGCCTGACTGGCAGTGAGCCTGGGCAGGGACAGGGAGACCCATCACTCCAGGCTGAGCATTGGAAGGGGAATCCTGTTTTTTCCTGCAGGTGGGCTCAGCCATCCTCCACCAAACCATGGCCCACTTCATGTGCAGCGAGGCAGCCCGGCTGGCAGACAGTGAGCGGATTGCTGCTGTCTGCTCACTTCTCCAGCAGCCCAACCCTGACATCCAGCTTGCCATCCTGAGCTGGGTGATTGCTGGGGAGGGAGGAACGTGCAAGGAAGTGGAAAATGCTCTTGGGCTGACATTGCTGGTATGATGGGGCTCAAAAGTCACCAAGTAAAGCAGGGGGGCTCCAGTGCACCACGCAGATGGGACCCCTGAGATCCCATTGCTGAGAAGCTTGGTGCTCCTCAGGCTGAGGGTACATGGGTGTAGAGCACTTGCCCAGTCCTGCAGTGCTAGGACCACTAACCATATACCTTCTTTCCCATTGTCAACTAGGAGAGCTTGGGGTCGGTGCTGCAAGAGAGAAGGGACAAAGAGTTCCTGAGATTGTACCTTGAAGCTTTGCTGCATCTTTACAGAGATCCTTCATCATGGTCCCAGGAAGCTTCCAATAAGCTCCAGGGCTCCTCAGCATCATGCCTGGAAATGCTGCTGCACATGGTGGAGGCTGAGTGTCCTGGGCCTGATCTCCTCTTCCAGGCGCTGTGTGCTGCCAGCCTGCTGCTCGCTCACCAGTAGGTCCCCACTGCTGCTGGGGGCTGCCCAACTCTTCCAGCAGATTCTTCCTTAGTCCTTATTAGAAACAGAGCCATGACTTCTCTTCCATAAATCACAGCATTGCACCTGGCTCCTGCGATCTCAGGGCAGCCGGTGGCCTTTGGTCCCCTAATGGAGCAGAAAGGTGTGCTTGAATTTGCTGTCCTTCCCTGGCCTCCGGCAGGTTTGGGGACGAGGATGGCGCGCGGGTGGAGCGCTGGTGTGCGGCGCTGGAGGAGTGCAGCCGGTCCACTTGGTGCGAGGTGCTGCGGCTGGCGGCTGCCCGCTCCCTGCAGATGGCAGGGGCTGACGTGGTGCGGCGATCCCTGCGTGCCGCCTGTCCCTCGCTCGTCCCTGTGGCTCTGCGGTAGGTCACTGAGCCCATCTCTGCCGATGGCTGTGCTTGCAGCCAGCTCCCGGCAGCACTGCTCCCTACAGCCCCAGCCTGCTCCAGGTTAATGGACTCTGCAAAAGGTGTTCCCTGCAAAAACTCAAGGGTATTGAAGAAAACCCCACTCATTCAAAAGTCACTGGCACTCGAGCTCACAGCCTACAAATGTGTGGGTGGCAGTTTAATACAAGCAGCCAGTGCCTTATGAGCAGCAGATGGCATTGCTGGGTCCCTCAATCTCTGGCACAGCCCCTGTACTCCCAAGTTCTAAGCTCTTGGGTGGTGGCTGTGTCTTTCACAGTCCGGGAGAAAAGTCCCTCAGAGAAGCATTTTTCTGAGGGTCTTTCTTTCTGACCCTTTCCTCCCCTCCAAGCAGGGTGGGATGCTTTGGGGCGAGCAGAATGCTTCCTTTCACTTCTCTTCCCTTTCCTCAGGCTGATAAACATGGCCATTCACCTTCTGCAAGATGAGGAGCGGGAGGTCCGGCACGAGGCCTCGGGTTTCGCCAGCCTCCTGCGGCAGAGCCCAGGGGAGCTGCTCCGAGATGGCTGCATCTTTGTGCAGGACAATGTGGGGCTCCAGAGCCTCCTAGAGCTCCTTCTGAGAGAGTTTGGGGAGCACCCTGAGACCTTCAACTCACTACTACACCACCTCCCCATTTTAGATCTCAGGAGTGTCGTGGAGGAGCTAGAGGCCAACAAGTGAGTTGCTGGACCTGTGGACTGGCGTAAGGGAGTGTGGGGTACCATGGCGCCAGCCTGTGTCTTCACACACCTCATCTTTCCCCCCAGAGCTGCCAGCCTGTACAAGGAGGATGAACCCAACGTTTTTGCAGAGCCAGCTGTCCTGGCACGGCAGCTGCTCCCTGTCCTGGTGCAGCTCCTGAAGAAGGCTCCCACTGGCAGCCCACTCCATGCCTCGGCTCTGCAGTGGTTGGAAACCACAGGCCCCAGTGTGCTGAGGGACCTGCAGTACTGCAAACACTGCTGGAGCCAAGGTATGGCGAGTGTGGAGTGCCTGGGACAAGCAAACAGTGTCCTTGTTCCCCAGGCCAGCTCTGCCCAGGGGGACTGTGCCACACTTACGGCTCCTTCACCTGCTCTCTCCATAGGGACTGCTGTCCACTGGGGGATGAAAGCACTGGGCTGTGCCAAGCTCCACACAGCCCTGGCTGTGCTGCTGGTGAGGGCCCAGCTGGTGGCACAGGTGCTGCAGGTGCTGGGGGAAGGTGCCACCACCATGCCAGGCCTGGGCTGTGGCACCCAGGAACTGGAGCAGGAGCTGGAGCTGGTACAGGGGCTGCTGGTGCAGCACGGGCTGGCCCCTGTGCCAAATCAGGACAGTGCACCAGGAAAGCTGGGACTACTGTGGGGGACTGACAGCTCCAGGCATGCAGCAGTGTGACATGAAATCCTGCAGTCATCTCCCTCCATTTCCTGGATGCTCTCTGACCAGCAGCCAGGCCTTCAGGTTTGGTGGTGTAACTCAGGGGAACCCCACTCACAGTGCAGGACACACTCGCTTCTGTTCCCAGTTTCTAACTCTCCAGCTGAGGACTCCAGTGCAGCATTGCCTTGGCCACTACTTCCTTGCCCTCAAACTCTGGCTGGCAGGAGGGAACTTGTGCTCCAGAGCTCTCATACCCTCTCATGCTCAACTCCCACCACCTGTTTTTTTAACCAGCACTTTGGTCCTTGGCCAACCTGGGCTTTTATCCCAAATAAAAGAGGCCAAGAATACTCCCAGTGTTGAAGCCTTTTAATTCTCCTGCCTAGGAGGGTGGTGTGAGAGCGGGCTACAGGAGCCAAAGGTGTCCTGGGGCAGCAAACAGGCAACAGCCACTGATTGCACTGGAGCAGGATCCAGCCTTGGCATGGCACGTGCTCCCACCACAGGCTGTGGTACCACCACCCAAAGCTGGGACCCCTCCAGCAAGGTCATGTCCTGCTGGGTGAGGAGCGGGGAAGGGCAGCAGCACCGCCCAGCCCAGCCTCATTCCTTCCAGTGCAGGCGGCCGAACCCCACGGCTGGAACTGGACACCAGCACCATCGCCCACGTACAGACTTTGCTCTCTGCAAAGCCCAGCAGGCCTGAACTGCCCTGCATGGCTCACCTGATACTGCAGTGAGTGAGCTCAGACAAGAGGAAGGATGCTGCCTCCATCCTCACGTTGCTTGCCAGTTGAAAGTATGATGTCAAGGCTGAGTGTGACATCATCACACCATGTCACTGCCACATCATCTTCTCACCCAGAATTAACCTCATCATGTTGTTCTACCATTAATCACCACACTTTAACAATTCCCTTATTTTTAGTCTTTATAAGGAGGGTTTTTCCATTCTTCAGCAAAATATTTAATGGAAAATAGAGGGAGCTGGCACCAAGGGTGAGCAGCAAACCTGCAGGAGGGTGAAATTATGAAAGAGACTACATTTTTATTTCATTCCCCGCCTCCCCAGCAAGGAGTGGGGCCGTGGGGAGGCTCAGCTCACCTTCCCAGGGGGATCCTACACGAACATGAGAGCTGGTGGGGAGCAGATGCAGCCCTCCTGCAGGCCCTCCTGCACCCACGAGCCCTGGCACCCCACCACAGAAGTGGCCACCCAAAATGACCTGGAAGGGAAAATCAGCAAGAACTGGGGTGTGCCATTAATAATTTTTTCAAAATCAAATAGAGTTTTATGTATGGGTTTATATTACATATGTAATAATGGCAGTCAGACTAGATGATCATTGTATGTCCCTTTTAACAGACATATCCTATTTAAATATGTTTTCATATTATAATCTTGATTTATATGACATATTATTGATTCATTTAATAATATGATGGTATACTATAATATTGTGGCATATTTTACCATAATTATAGCTTTGTCTACAAATATTATAATTAGAATATAAAAGGAGAATGCCTTAGAGGCAGGGAGTGATGTTCCTTAGGAGAGATCCCATGGTGGGGATGCCACAAATTAGCACCTACCTGGCTCCTTGCAGCCCGTGTCCAGTGCAGTGGGGACGGTGGTGAGGCAGATTCCCCCGGCACTCCACACACACCTGCTTGTCCCGGTGCAGCCGGCGGCTCCAGGCTCGCCCGCGGCACGGGGGTCCCACCTGTGTCAGGCGGAAATAGCCGCAGTAGCTGGGGAGGGGGGAGCTGGGGAGGGGGGAAAATGGGAGGAGAAAAGAGGGAAAATGGTGGGCAGGCAGTAGGGCAGTTTGTGGTGGTTTTTTTGATGGATGTGAGTTTGGGGGCTGGTAGAGAGGCCTCGGATGGGGAGGTGAGAAGGGTAATGGCTCTGGGGGGGTGCAGAGGGATCCTGGTTCGGAGGGTGGGAAGGATGATGGTTCTGTGGGACATAGGAAGGACCATGGTTATGTATGGGGGCCATGGTTTGGGGCAGGGAGAAAAGTAATGGCTGGGAAAAGCAAAAAGGCCCTGGATCTGGGGGGTGCAGACTGCACCCATGACTGCAGCGGGGGTGCAGGAGGGGTCCCGGCTTTAGGGGCAGAGCTGAGGTTGTTGGTGGTTAGAGGGGCCCGACTCCGCACATACCCAGAGGGCTCCTCCGGCAGCGGCAGCCCAGCTCTTCGCCAGGGATCTCTGAAGTCCTGGCTGAAGGAGTTGGGGAGTATCTTGGCTACCTCTGGCAGAAGAGAAGCTGTGAGGGGCACGGGGATGATGAAAGACACCCCGGGACGGCAGCACACGGGGATGGCCACGCAGGAGGGCAGCAGGCAGCCCACGTACCTTTGGCCGTGCCGCAGGCCGGGTGCTGCCCCAGGCAGCCGCGGCGCTGCTTCAGGTCGGGACAGGGATCCCCTCCGTGCCGGGGCGGCACAGTGACCTGGCGGCTGCGGGCCCTGCTGCCAACCCCGCACGGGGAGCTGCACCCGCTCCACGGCCCCCAGGGCCCCACAGCACAGCCCACTGCTGCCAGGGATGGAGCAGAGGGAAAAGAAAGAGTTTCAGTGTCACGAACAATGGAAAGAGCAGGGGAGATGCAGCACGGGGGACTGGAGAGGGGAGGAAGGGCAAGGGCAGAGTGACCCCAGCAGCCCCTTTCCCCTGACCCCTGCCAGTGCAGGGGCATTGTGAGCTGCTCCCGCAGGACTTCATCCCTGTGTGCATCGCGCTGAGCTGGGACCCTGCTAATCTCCCCGGAGATTAGGAAGAGCTGACTGCTGCAATTGTCCAGGGGGCCGTGGCCAGCGCCTGACCAGATCTGGGTCCCCAGGGCAGGCTGGTTCTGCACTCCCCAAGCCCATGAGTCCTGTTTGGCACCCTCAGAGCAGCCCCCGGTTCCCCGTCCCTGTGCAAGGCACCGCCTGTGACATGGGGGCTTGTGCTGCTGGGTCCCACACTGACCACTCTGGCTCGCAGTGACTGCGCTACCGTCACCTGCAGCCCAGAGGCCACGGGCTCCCTCACTGCACCGGGGCCAGCCAGACATTCGGCATGGAAACAAGGGACAGCTGGGACACTGCTACAAACCCAGCCCAGCCGGCATCCCCTGACACATCCTGTCATCACTCGAAGCACGGGGCTAACAGGTAACAGCAAACACTCGCCACCGAGCACAGCAGCACAGGCTGGTGTCCCCAGCCGCGGTCCGGCCAGTGCCACCCCCATCGCCACTCACCGGCACGGCGACACGTGGCCAGGTAGTCCTGGCAGCAGTCCCCCGTCCTCTGGCAGTACGAGTCGCAGTAGCAGCGAGCGCGGCGGGCAGCGGGGGCCCAGCAGGCGTTGTTCCTGCCGGGGCAGCACCGGTGCCGGCAGCTGCCCGTGG